CCTCCCAAGCAGTTTTTACATGGCTAAACCACATTTCATGAAATCTGGAAGACAGCTACCTGGCCAACCAGCTGGAAAAGATCCATATTTATATCTATTCCCAAGAAAGGTGATCCAACCAAATGCAGAAATTATTGAACAATATCATTAATATCACATGCAAGCAAAATTTGCTGAAGATCATTCAAAAGCAGCTGCAGCAGTATATCAACAGGGAACTGCCAGAAATTCAAGCCGGATTCAGAAGAGGACTTGGAACCAGGGATATCATTGTTGATGTCAGATGGATCCTGGCTGAAAGCAGAGAATACCAGAAAGATGTTTACCTGTGTTTTATTGACTTTGCAAAGGTACTCGACTGCATGGACCATAACAAATTATGGATCACATTGCAAAGAATGGGAATTCGAGAACACTTAATTGTGCTCATGAGGAACCTGCCAAGAGGCAGCCGTTAGAACAGAATAAGGGGATACAGCGTGGTTTAAAGTCAGGAAAGGTGTGCGTCGGGGTTGTATCCTTTTGCCATACCTATTCAATCTGTATGCTGAGCAAATAATCTGAGAAGCTGGACTCTATGAAGAAGAACAGCGCATCAGGATTGGAGGAAGACTGATTAACAACCTGCGTTATGCAGATGACACAACCTTGCTTGCTGAAAGTGAAGAGGACTTGAAGCACTTACTGATGAAGATCAGAGACCACAGCCTTCAGTATGGATTACACCTCAACATAAAGAAAACAAAAATCCTCACAACTGGACTAATAAGCAACATCATGATAAACAGAGAAAAGGTTGAAGTTGTCAACGATTTCATTTTACTTGGATCCACAATCAACACCCATAGAAGCAGCAGTCAAGAAATCAAAAGTAGCATTGCACTGGGCAAATCTGCCGCAAAAGACCTCTTTAAAGTGTTGAAAAGCAAATATGTCACCTTGAAGACTAAGGTGCACCTGATCCAAGCCATAGTGTTTTCAATCGCCTCATATGCATGCGAAAGCTGGACAATGAATAAGGAAGACCAAAGAAGAATTGACGCCTTTGAATTGTGTGGTGTTGGCGAAGAATATTGAATATACCATGGACTGCTAAAAGAACAAACACATCTGACTTAGAAGAAGTACAACCAGAATGCTCCTTAGAAGCAAGGATGGCAAGACTATGTCTCACATACTTTGGAAAATGTTATCAGGAGGGATCAGTCCCTGGAGAAGGACATCATGCTTGGTAAAGTAGAGGGTCAGCAAAACAGAGGAAGACCCTCAACAAGATGGATTGACACAGTGGCTGCAACAATGGGCTCAAGCATAACAACGATTGTGAGGATGGCGCAGGACCGGGTGGTGCTTTGTTCTGTTGTACATAGGGTCGCTGAGTCAGAATCAACTCAATGGCACCTAACTACACCAACAACAGACCACATTCAGGGACAAGATCCTGGAGGAGTAACCCTTCAGCAGGCTCCCCACAACACCCCACCACTCCCCCTCAAATGCTGAGGGCACCATGGACAAATGCTACTTGTTCTCGGACCAAGCTCCTGGACCATGGGAATGTGGGAGAACACCAGGGACGGCTCCTGGGCTCCACTCCTGTTCAGTTCCCAAAGGTGTCCTCCGCCATCCTGGTATCCAACTCACATGAGGTGGCCCCGGGGGAAGACCTCAGATGCAGGGAATAGGGGAGAGATGGTGTTGGGACATTTTCATTGTCACGGGATGGGGCCAGATTCCCTCTCTGCGAGTTACCAACAAGAACCCCAGACAGGGAGGCCTCAGCTTTTTAACAGAAAGGGATCTGATTGTTGTATAAGCACATGGGGTTGTTGCCTTCAACGGGGCCCCTGAAAGACCGTATGCCTATTCTAGGGACTCTTTTAGAGCTCATTCAGCTCTTTAGAAACTGCCTTCGGCGCCACCTTTGGCTCACCAGTTTGGTCATCCAAAGTACAAAGCACTGCCCAGTCCTGCACCATCCTCACAATCGTGAATGCTTGAGCCCATTGTTGCAGCCACTGTGTCTATCTTGTTGAGGGTCTTCCTCTTTTTTGCTGACCCTCTACTTTACCAAGCATGATGTCCTTCTCCAGGGACTGATCCCTCCTGATAACATGTCCAAAGT